TCAAACAAATTAATTACTTAAAAAAAAAAAAAAAAAGAACCTCAATCTCAGCAAAGCACCATATAAAATATTAATCCTCTCATTATCTTCAGCTTCCTAGATTGATAATCTTAGGTTTTTCACTGCCACCCTTAATGTATGTCTGCCAAAGGTAAGTACAATTCTAATACAAATATCTGTAACGGTGCAATAGAAACTTTCTTCTCCTATAGACTAAGGTTACACTAAATGGAACGTAATACAATCAAGCATCTAGGTCTAGTACAGCCCAACAGAACTTTCTGTGATGGTAGATATCGTCTATATCTGCAATGTGCCACAGCTTCATGGGAATTTTTAGCTCTTGACATATGGCTAATATAACAGAAGAAATGAATTTTTAATTTTACTTAGTTTTAATTAGACACACATTGATATTAAAAAATCATACAAATATCAATGCACTGCAAGTTACTTGCTAGTATGTTTCCACACATAAATAAAAAAGAACTCTATTAGCTAGAATTACTTCAGCAAGAAGTTGAAACTAAAGTTGCACAAGTGTTACAAAAGAGACAGCAACTTGAATACTCCAGTTTCCTCTTACCAACCATCAGTCTTTATAAAACTAAGTATTTTCAATATCAACGATGGTAAATACTCCTCAATAAATTTTCTGAAAGAAAGACATCCTGGGAAATTTCAGGTAAGAACAGTAATGCAATACATTAAAGTGGGCAAAGATCTAGTCTTGGCTTACCAAAAAACCACGCCAAAATGAAGAGACTGACTGATTACCAGTCCCTGCCACAGCCAGGAGTCCACTATGATAATCTACAGGTTGAAAATGACTGACTCACCATTCATGTATAGACTGTTTCACATACGTATACTGCAATAGCAGTACTTTAATCACATGAAGAAATTTTATAAATATATTTACAACATATTGAGGTTATGTGCAATTACTTGGGAACCCAAGTCACACACACTGCCTCAATTACATAAATGTCTACTTCCAAACACCTGACCAGAAAGCAAACACTGGCAATGGGTGACAAAATTTTGACATCTAAACAATCTTTTTTGCTAAACATTAAAAACACAACTTCCAAGTATTATTTTTAAAAGTCCAATGACAAATAAGTACTGACCATGTGCCAAACAGTGTTTCTCTCATTTATCTTTGCATTCCTAGCACAAATCAAGGCATCCACCCTATCTTCAAAACATTCATGGAAAATACCTATCGTGAATAACCTATGGGCGGGTTTCAAACAATTTTTGCACCAAAATAAACTCATCTTTTAATTCCATTTTCCATGAACTTTTTGAAGTTCTCTGGTACACTGGACAATGAGTAGGTATTTGTGGTGGGGAAAAAAATGAATACTAAACTATTTTAGATGATTCAAAGATCACTTTTTAAAAAATGTTCCCAGCCTCCAAGGTGGTTCCAGATCCGGTCGAGCAGTAAGACAACCACACGAAAAAAAACTTAAAATAAAACACAGGACAATTAAAAATACTACGTGGCAGGATAAGATTATTTGCAAAGTTAGCTGCAAAGAAAGAGCTATCAATTCTTCCTAGAGTGAGATCCTTCTGGCCTCCCGAACAGACGCCGACACTATATTTCAATTTTAAAAAAAGAAAGTGACACAGCACTCCATCCCACCCTGAAATCATCATCAGAGGAAGGAATACAAAAACCAAAAGAGAATGGTGTGTGTGTGTGTGTATGTATGTGTGTGTGTATAAAAACTTCCATAGCAGGTTTTTAAAGCCTACGGTAGGGCTGAAAAAAGAGCATTCCATCCGTAAACCCTCTGGCTGGATCTGGGAGCTCTAAAGGCTCCGAAAACACAAGTCTCCCAGGACCAGCGTCCCCTGCACTCTGTCCCTCCGCCCCCCACGGAGCTTTCCACTGGACAGCAGCCCGCATTCGCACCCGCAGGACTCTCGCCTTCCCCCCCTCCGCTCGCCTGTATCAGACAGCGGCATCTCCCTCCAGAGGAAAACACGCAGGGCGGGGGAGGCGACCGCAGAGAAAGCTCGCAGGGGAGCCCCTCAAGGAGGCCGGGGGGCCAGCGTGGGGTCCCCCTCAGTTCCGACTCAGGTGCCCGGCCCGCATCTCCCCCACCCCGGAGTCACGCCCCTCGCCTGCCCGGCTGCGCTCGGATCGCCGACTCCAGACACAGCCCAGTCATCACCGGTGCGGCGCCCCCCGACTCGCAGGAGCGCGGGGAGACCACCACCCCCGCCCCCGCCCCAGCCGCAGCAGCAGCAGCAGCAGCGGGCCCCCACGCGCGCTCTCGCTGCCCGTCCGGCTACGGACCGCTCCAGGGGGAGGCGATCGCCGGCGCGTGCAGCCCGCGACTGCCGTTGCAACTCTGCCCAAGCCCTCCGACAGGCGCGGAGGCGGGCGGGTGGCCGACCGAACGCTGCGGCCGGCCCGGGGGACCCGGTCCGGGCCTAGCCTGCCCCAATTGCCCCACACCGGGCGGGGGTGGCACTTACTGCGGAGATTGTGGATTAGCTCCGAGTGGCTGGCGCCGCCGGATTTCCAGGCCATCGCTAAGCACACTCGGAGCAGGTACAGAACCACCTTCAGCGCGGCGACGGTCCCCAACAGTTTCGCTAAGAGTGAGACCACCTCCCACACGGTCACCGCCCCGCTCGCGTCCCCGCTGTCGCCGCCGCTGCTACTGCCGTCGCCGCCGCTGCCGCTGCCGCCACTGCGCGCTCCCGGCATCCCCCGCGGCACGCATGCGCCCTGCGACGCCGCGCGGCCCTCGGGTGCGGCCGGGTGGGGCCGCAGGCGGGGGAGGCCTAGTGCCCCCGCCGCCGGTGCCAGTGGCCGCTGCGGCTGCCCTGGGGCCGCAGGGCGGCAGGGCTGAGTCAGCGCCGCCGCAGCCCCTGCGTGCCCCTTTCTGAGGCCTCGGGCTGTCCGCCGCCCTTGCCCTGCAGCCCTGGGGGTGGGGGCGGTCTCCTGCGCGGTCCGGGCGCCGGGCGCGGCGGCGGGATGACGGGGCCGATCTGTGCCGTGGCCGTTGGTGGCTCCGCAGTCGGCGCTGTGTCACCTGAGGCGAGCGGCGGGGCTGCTCCTATAGCGGTCCAGATTGTTAGACGGTGGGCTCCCTCCGTCCCGCCTCACCCAACCCCGTCGACTAATATTTGGGTCGATTAGAGTCAAGGCTGGAGTGACGGCGCCGAAATGATGCTCTTAATCGAGCCCCAAGGGCGAGGACCCTCTGCGACCCGAGAACACCAGCCTCCGGCTTTATGACAGGCGCACCCCTGTTTGGTTATGCAGAAACAGTGGGAGCCAGGGAGAAAAAACCGAGACTGGGGCGTGCGGTGAGGCGGGGATGCTTCGCTCCTTTAGAGCAAACGTAAAAAGCTGCAACCGGTGGAAAACGCCCCAGTGTCCTATGGTGAATGTGTGGTTCTCCCAACGCAAGTGTGCGTTGTCAGTAAACGGAGCCTCACGGATTCCGCTGTGAGGCTGGGCTCGAACCGTGCCCAAGCCCGGGATGGGGAAACTGCCTGTGGCGTCCAAGCTGCAGACTGCGAGCTAGCACGGAGTCTGACAGAATGCAGCCGTCGTTTAGGTCATTCGGTAAACGTTTAGGAAAGAAACAAAGCTGTGTCACCGCGTCTAAGCTCTTAGATCAGCAGCAGTTTTCAAGTTCTCGCGCTTACCAGGTTCTGTCGAATGTGACACTGTTCAAAAATACGCATGTCCTCTTGTCGGGGTTCTGTGGTCGTAAACGAGCCCACACGCAATTGTTCTTTCCGTGGATATATGATAGGAATGAAATTGTCGACTTGGGGCTCATCGGCTTCCCGGGCGCCCGTTCCGTCTCTCCGCAGACGGCTGGCGATCTTCGGCTGCAGAGCAGACCCTGGTAACTCTCACCGAAGCCGGCCGCGGCGGTTACGTTTCGTCCACTCCTTGCACAAACTGTCCCGGTGAAGTGGGACCCCCGACCTCGTAAACCGGCAGCCCGGCACGGCCCCCTTTAAAGAGACAACATATAGTTATGAATACAGCGGTGTAAGAGAGTTGCCAAGGTGGAATAAATCATACCTCTTGGAATCAGTAGGATTTCCACGCTAAGGAGCTTTGGAAAAGGAAACCAGAAACGGGGCAAAATGCGTGCTCTTAGTGATGCAGATACCAAACGTTCTGTTTTATTCTCCTCCTCATCCTCCGCTGAGGCCGTCAGGGAAAGGGTGAAGGGTGGACAGGATTCTGAGAGGAGGAGTGGAAAGGTATTTTAGCCATAACCAAAGGCACTAAAGGAACCCGCAGCACTCATGCCCCAGGCTGTGGACGTTAGGTATCACAAAATCCGTTCTTAATTATATAATGGAAGTGGAGCCGGTGTTGTGGCACAGTGGTTTTAGCCGCCGATTTGCGTCCTGGCTGTTCCCAGCTTTGACCTGACCCAGCCCTGGCCTAAGCCACCATTTGGGGAGTGAGCCAGCGGATGGAAGAGCTCCCTCTGTGTATGTGTCTCTCCCTCTCTCTGCAACTCTGCCTTTGAAATAAATCTTTTCTTAAAAAATTACGTATGTAAGTGAGTTGACCAAGGTTACAGTTAGGTAACCTTAGGTAACTGGCAGCAGAACTAAAACTGGAGTCAAAGGTTTAGGATAATAAATTCGTACTTTATTGGAAATAGTGCCATGAAGATTGAAGGATTTTGAGTTGTTTGCTATGCATAGTGACAAGCAGCTGATGTGGCTGCAAGGTGGTTTCCCACGCAGTGATTTTGTTCTTAAGTTACTGCACAAGCACGTTGTCTCCATGTTCCTCCTCTGCATTTGCATGTCGGGTGCAGATCGCACTGCACATAGGCCGGGGCACTCTTGGTTTTGCTCAAAGCCACCTCGCTGAGCATGGGCGCCTCAGACCCCTCCTGGTCCGGGCCCGGCAGTGCCTGCACCGCCTTCCGCTGGGAATTGGCCCTTCGCGGCCGCCGTCGCCCGGCGAGCTCCCATCCAATCAGAGCTCCGCGGGAAGGGGCGGAACCCGGAGGCGCGCGGCGCGCGGCTGGCTGTGCCTGCTGCTGTTGCTTTCAGCATGGAGGAGCTGTATGCCAAGTTTGTGTCTGAGAAAATCAGCAAAACCCGCTGGCGGCCGGTGCCTCCGGGGAGCCTGCAGACCGCCGAGACCTTTGCCACGGGCTCTTGGGACAATGAGGTACCCTGGCTCCGGGGCGGGACCCCGGGGCTCCGTCCTCTCCCACGCCCAGGTGCCCTGGAGCGCGCGACTTTCCATCCTCCCCGGCCCCGGGTCCGGGGGCTCGGCTGCAGCCAGCGTGGGTGTGCCCGAGCCCCCGTCTTCTTGTTTCACATTCTGCCCATGCCGTGTGAGATGCTTTGGAGCCCAGGTTGCCTTAAGGCGATACGCATTGGGTTTACTTTCCAGAGTTGACGGTTCTGTCATCTCAAGATGAAGCCGTTTGCTTTACAGGAGAATCACGTTTCACTGTGGTCTATCGGAGATTTCGGAAACCCGGACTCTGATGGAAGCCTGGAAGGAGACCATCGACTGTTGTGCGATATCAAACACCATGGTGACGTCATGGACTTACAGGTAAGCGCGTCCAGTGCCCAGAGGCTCGCTTCTAAAGAAAGCCAGAGCAGTGCATTTAGAGTGCAGAGACCTGAGAGCTCTCCTGGCCTCACCCCTAGTTTACAGGAAAGCGAGTTCTCCATAGGTTAGGATTTACCCAACGTAGACTGATCACTTAGTGGCACAACCTCCCAGCTGCAAGCGATTTTTTTATTTTATTATTATTTTTTTTTTTGACAGGCAAAGTTAGTGAGAGAGACAGGTCTTCCTTCCGTTGGTTCACCCCTCAAATGGCCACCTCGGACGGCGCTGCACCGATCCGAAGCCAGGAGCCAGGTGCCTCCTCCTGGTCTCCCATGCGGGTGCAGGGCCCAAGCACTTGGGCCATCCTCCACTGCCTTTCCGGGCCACAGCAGAGAGCTGGACTGCAAGAGGAGCAACCGGGACAGAATCCGGCGCCCCAGCCGGGACTAGAACCCGGTGTGCCGGCGCCGCAGGCGGAGGATTAGCCTATTGAGCCGCGGTGCCGGCCTGCAAGTGATATTTTTGGAGTTTTACATAAGACCGTTTAATTCTAATTACATGTCTGTGAGTCAGTATTGTTATTTCTATTTTGCCCGTGAGAATGCTAAGAATATTATCTTTCGAGCACACACTGCTAAGGATCTCAAAGTTCATGGAAAATGCATATTATAGATAAACTATGCATGGGCTTTTAAAAATTTTGCACTAGAATGCATTATCTTTTAATTTCGTTTTCCATAAACTTCTTGAATTATCCTCATTTGTGACAAATACTGTGCAGGGTAGTTCTTTTAAATTTTTTGATTTCTCATAACCCACCCTGAGTAGGATTAGTACTCCCTGTTTAAAAATACAGATTTTTAAAAATTTACTTATTTGAGAGGTAGAGTTAGAGACAGAGAGAAAGTTCTCGATCTGCTGGTTCACTCCCCAAATGGCTGCAATGGCCAGAACTGGGCTGATCTGAAGCCAGGAGCTTCTTCCCAGTCTCCCATGCGGGTGCAGGGGCTCCAGCACTTGGGCCATCCTCTACTGCTTTCTCAGACCATAGCAGAGGGCCGGGTCAGAAGAGGAGCAGCCAGGATGGAAACCAGGGTGCGTGTGGGATGTTGGCCCTGCAGGCGGAAGCTTAGCCTATTGTACCACAGCAGTGGCCTCAGAGAAATTTCTTTTTTAATGTATTTGTTAGAGCTCCCATCAACTGGCTCATTCACCAAAGCCTGCGTCAGTCAGGAGCCAAGAGCCAGGAACTCAGTCCAGGTCTCCCATGTGGGTAGCATGGACCCAATTACTTGAGTCATTACCATTGCTTTGCAGGACCTGCGTTAACAGGAAGCTGAAATAAGGAGCCAGAACTGGGTGTTGAACACAGGCATTCTGAACTTGGGCATCTCAACCCAACATCATAGCAAGCCAAATGCCCACCACATTCCAAGGCTTAGAGAATTTAACTTGGCCAACCATTTATTCCTCATGAAAATACCTTTATTTGTATAGCAATGTTAACTTTTAGATCTAACAAATGTTATTTGGGTAGCACTTACAGGCTTTTTACCTTTTACAGTTACGTAATTTGCTATAAATTCAGTTAAACAAATGGGTTTCCTCCCTACTAGTTTTTCTGAATCTATAATAAGCAGGAATTTTTCTGTTTAGTTTTTTGACCAGGAAAGAATTGTAGCTGCTTCATCAACAGGATGTGTAACAATTTTCCTTCACCATCCAAATAACCAGGTAAAGAACTTTTGTTTGAAAAGTGAATTTGTATTTTAGTTATTTTTAGAAAGGTGTAAGGAAAACCGTATTTAATAGTTTTAAAGCCTTATGATATGAAGGGGGGGGAAATATCATTACTTTTTGCGAATGTAATTCTAGAACCATGTTTTTGTGAGTTGTTTGTTTGTTTGTTTGTTTTTGAAAGAGAATTACAGAGAAAGGAGGGGAAAGACAGAAACAGAAAGGTCTTCCTTCCACTGGTTCATTTCTCAGTGGCTGCATCAGCCAGGGGTGGGCCAGACCAAAGCCAGAAGTCAGGAGTTTCTTCCAGGTCTCCTGCGTGGGTGCAGGGGCTCAAGCACTTGGGCCATCCTCTACTGCTTTCCCAGGCCATTAGCAGGGAGCTAAATGGGAAGTGAAGCAGCCAGGACTTGAACCATTGCCCATATGAGATGCCGGCATTGTAGGTGGTGGCTTTACCTGCTACGCCACAGCGCCAGCCCTGTGAGCTGTTATTGAAATTGGGTAAACCTGCAATGCATTCTGTTAGTTTGGATGAAGCAATATGGTAATTTGGCAGGTAATTTTCCATAATTCTTTAAGTTCCTATTCTAGTCTTTTGAAGAAAGAGCCTCTTTTAGCTCAGATACTGTAGCAGAGAACAGGATCGGCTGTCTTGCCTCTGTGGATAGAACTCAGGTCTGCAATTGAAGCCAGCATCTGCTGTATGAAGACATGACTTATTTTTCAGTACTTTCTTGTGTGCTAAAGCCCATCAGGCCCAGCCTGCAGAACCTACTGGTGCAGGCAGTTCCTTAAAACAGCCCCACCAGTAATAACGCAGTTTGAAGTTGCTGGAGGAGAGTGTTCATTTAGGTTTTAAGGTTAAATGCCACCTTACTTACAGGCATGCCTAATAAACATAAGACCCAGATCTCATTAAGTATTTTTCTTAATGGAGTCACTTATGAGAGACTGTAGCGATTTATTTATTAGATGTACTCATTCCCATAAAAATTTAGTTGTTTTTGAACATTCAACTACCTCTTACCTAAAAACAATTATGTTAGTTTGAGATAAATGTGGAACATTGTTAGACCACATTCGTTTTCAACCTAGTTCAGTGTGCACAGAGCTTTGGCAGTAATTGAGTATCAATACTGTAAAGGAGAAAGGAGAGTTTTGTTTTGTTTTGTTTTTGTTTTGTTTTTTAGATTTGTTTATCTATTTGAGAGGCAGAGTTACAGACAGAGGAAGAGACAGAGAAAGAGGTCTTCCATCTGCTGGTTCACTCCCCAAATGGCTGCGATGGCTAGAGCTGGGCCAGTCCAAAGCCAGGAGCTTCTTCCAGGTCTCCCACATGGGTTCAGGAGCCCAAACACTTGGGCTATCTTCTGCTGCGTTCCCAGGCCATTACCAGGTAGCTGGATCAGAAGTGTAGTAGCCAGGACTCAAACCAGCATCCATATGGGGTGCCAGCACAGCAGGCTGATACTTAACCTACTATGCCATAGCACCATCCCCAAGAGTTATTCTTTTAAAAAGAAGGTGTGAGGTAGGATTTAAAAATACTCTTGTTGGGGGAAAGCACTAGTTCCCTAGAGCTTTCTTTGATTAATATAGTGTGCTCATTTCTGATGCCTAGACTCTATCAGTCAGCCAGCAGTGGACAACAGCTCACTACCACACGGGTCCTGGCAGCCCTTCCTACTGCAGTGCACCTTGCACAGGGGTTGTGTGCGACAACCCAGAAATTGTCACAGTTGGAGAAGACGGTCGCATAAATCTCTTCAGAGCGGATCATAAGGAAGCTGTGAGAACTATAGGTAAGAAAAATCATTACGTGTCTTTCCTCTGTACATAGCAAGTATGCATGTGCCATATGCTAAATAAATAAGGCTAAGTGAGGGTTAAAAATGTACAAGGCCTTTGTCAAAACTGTGTTGATGAGGCTAGTAAGAGACTGACCACAGAGAAGAAGGAGGGTTGACAATTTCGTCTAGGTTTTAGACCATAAGTAATACTAAAAGATGACATACCAGGCAAAAGGAGTAGTATGGAAGCAGGATACAGTTAAACAGCTATTGACAAAAATGTAGCCGGACCTGACTTTAGGTATTTGTCTAAGAGAGACAAATGATGAATCCAGAAAGGTAAATGGGACCAGGTTGTAAAGATTCTCTAATGCTAAACCACAGGGGTTACGTTTTCAGGTGGAAAACTGGAGAGCCATCGAAAGTGTTTAAGCAAGGGAGTGATAACACTCCATGTCATGCTTTTGAAGAGCAGTTCTAAGGTGGTGGTCTTCAGCCATGCCTCACACAAACTCGCCTGGGGTATTTCTAACCATCACGCTAGATCTCTTGGGTCATAATCCCTAGGGACTGAGCCCAGGCATCGGGTGTTACTTATGGATTTTACTTCTGAAATACATGACTTGTGTGATTGTTAAGAACCGCTGCCTGATGGCAATGAAGAGGAGTGGTACAAAACTAACACCTGTAAGTGTATGTTAAGTTACGCAGTGTAAATTCTAAACGCCCTAGGAGCTCAAAGAAAAGGATCATTGGGACAATCAGGAAGGATCTTCTGGAGGAGAGAGCTGATGAGAGTAAAGATGAATAGATCTGAGATAGAAAAATACAAATAATAAAATCTGTAGTTGGCACTGAGTTTGGGCTCAATTTAAAATAAAAGTTCAGGGTCAAGGACTTGAAGAGAAAAAATTGGATATAAAAGAGCTTCAACAGCTATCTCAGAAATACAGGGTAATAGTCTTAAGAGCAGATAAAGGAAGAAATCTGAAAACTGAGTCCTCCACTCAGAAAACAGTTCAGATGTCCTGTGAGTTTTGTTTTTCTGTCCAAAAAGAGTCTAAACCTATACATTATGAGTTTTTCTGTAGAGATTATGCTGTGATTTATTGGAAATGTCATTTGTAATATTTCCATCAGTAGAAGGCATGTGATTTAACATTTTCTTAGAAAAAAGAGCTCCATTAACACACACTACCATTTTTTAAATTTGTAGACAATGCAGACAGCAGTACACTCCATGCTGTCACCTTCCTTCGCACTCCTGAGATTCTCACGGTAAATTCAATTGGACAATTAAAAATATGGGATTTCCGACAACAAGGAAATGAGCCCTCTCAAATATTATCACTGTAAGTTTTGATGTGTAATGCAGTGTTAATTTATTCAATTGTTTACAGCAATTGGCTTTAAACCATATTGTATTTTAATTGCATTTTAAGAGAATAACCCCTGGGCCCGGCACTGTGGTGCAGTAGGTTAATCCTCTTCCTGTGGTGCCAGCATCCCCTATGAGCGCCAGTTCTGGTCCTGGCTGCTGCTCTTCCGATCCGGCTCTCTGCTGTGGTCTGGGAAGGCAGTGGAAGATGGTCCAAGTGCTTTGGCCCCTGGGAGGGCCCGCCTGGGAGACCAGGAAGAAGCTCCTGGCTCCTGGCTTCGGATCAGCGCAGCCCCAGATGTTGTGACCATTTTGGGAGTAAACCAGCAGAGAGAAGACCTTTCTCTGTCTCTCCTTCTCACCATCTATAACTCTACCTCTCAAATAACTAAATAAAATCTTTAAAAAAATTTTTTTAAATAAAGAGAATAATCTTTGATTAAATTTGATAGAGCAAGTTAATGTGGTGGGCTTCATTTAGTAAATTCTTTCGATTCAGAGCCTTTATCTCTTTGAAGTTCATATTATTTCATGGAGAACTTACTTCTGCTTATCAAATGATTTTTTTTTTTTTTTTGGTTAGTAATTGGAGTGAAAATACAGTCCATGAGTTTTTTCCAGAGCAGAAATCCTGCTTTCTGGATGTTCAACTCTTTTTTTTCTCTTAAGAAAATAGAATGTGTCAAATTAAGAAACAACATTTATATAAGCTGAGCATTAAATAAGATGGGAGTAAAGAACATTCAGCATATTTGATATATGACATATTTTTTAATGTTTAGCTTTTTTGAGACTGTTTCACACACCAAATGGCCACAACAACCAGGGCTGGGCTAGGCCAAAGTCAGGAGCCCAAAACTCCATCATGGGTGGCAGGGGACCAAGCACCTGAGCTGTCTCCCAGGTATATTAGCAGGAAGCTGGGTCAGAAACAGAGTAGCTGAGTCAGCACTTCAACATGAAATGTGGGTGTTGTGAGGGGTCCCATAGTGCTCACCCCAACGTATGATATTTTTAAAAACCTATGAAATGGAAATGTATTTTGTGTATCCTGCCATCATATTATCTTGCTTCCCACGTCTCCAGATTGAAGAGCGAATGGATAATTTTAGCTTTTAATTCCAAAAATTATTTTGTTATTTGGAAGTATGCTTTATCTAGTAATTTTTTTACTATTGCTTTTGTTTTAAAAAAAAATAATTGACATAGTAATCGTATATATTTATAGGGTATGATATAATACTTAAATACACGTATAGAGTGTGTAATGATCAGATTGGGGTGATTAGCGTATCTGTCACCTCATTTATCATTTCTTTGGGTTGAGAACATCCTTTATCTCTCTGATAGCTATTTTGAAATATTCAATTAATTTTTGTCAACCATAATTTATCATATTGTGCTATATAGAACATTAGAAATTATTTCTTCTATTCAGCTGCAACTCTGTGCCTATTAAGTATCCTCTCTTCAAACTTTCCCTCTCACAAACCCTTGCCAGGCTCTGGTAACCACTGTTCTGGTCTCTACTTCCATCAGATCAACTTTAGCTTCCACATATAAGTGAGAACATGCAGTGTTCATCTCTCTGTGCCTGACCGTTCACTTAACATTAAGTTCTGCAGTTCCATCCATATGCTGCAAGTGACAGAGTTTTTGTTATTTTCTAGGGCTGTATTCAATCGTGTATATATCTGTGTCATATTTATCCAGCCATCTGGCTGTGGACATGTAGATTGATTCTGTGTCTTGGCTATTGTGAATAATGCTACCATAAACATGGGCGTATAGATGTCTCTTCAACATGACAATTCCAGCTCCTTTAGATATATACTCAGTGGTAGGATTGCTGAATTATGCAATAGTTATATTTCTGGGATTGATTGTTTGTTTAGTATTTATTTCCATTTTATTTGCAAGGCAGGAAGAAAGATCTTCCATTTGTTGGTTCACTCTCCAAATGTCCATAACAGCCAGGGATGAGCCAGGCCTCAGCCAAGCCTAAACCAGGAGTGGGGAACTCAGTTCAAGTCTCCTCTGTGAATGGCAGGTACTCAAGCACTTGAGGCGTTGCTTGCTGTCTCCCAGGATGCACATTAGCAGGAGGCTGGATCAGGAGCTGGGAGCAAGTGTCCCAAGTGGCAACCTAACTGCTACACCAAATATCCACCCCAGGTTTTTTCAAAGACTCTTCATATTGTTTTTCCTGAGGGCTGTATTTATATTCCCACCAAAAGTATATAAGAATTCTCCTTTGTTCACATCCTCATGAGCATTTGTGGATTTTTGTTTGTTTGTTTGTTTCTTTGATAATTGCATTCTAACTGTAATGAATGGATATCTCATTTTTAATCTACTTAATTGTTTGGCCTCATTAAAATTCAGCCAGTAGCTCCAGCTATTGGGTTCTGCAAGGATAAATTATGTTTTACAGCATACTTGATTTCATTGTGTTTCCCATGAAAGGACTGGTGACCGAGTGCCACTCCACTGTGTCGATAGACATCCCAACCAGCAGCATGTTGTAGCGACCGGTGGCCAGGATGGAATGTTGAGCATTTGGGATGTTAGACAAGGTACCATGCCTGTGTCACTGCTGAAGGCTCACGAGGCTGAGAGTAAGTAGCATGGAAATACAGAAAGTGTTTCGGGGGAGCTACCTGACATAACCAACTTTCCAGCTATTCATGCACATCATTTTGCATCATAACTTTTAAGGGCTGACTTGTATAAATTTAAATAACCCCTTTTTTTGACATGTGAGTTCTGTAGCATGTCTCAGAACTGTGGTAAATATAGATAATCACCTTCTTCTAAATGTACTTTATTAGGATAGTTTTTAGAAGTAGAATTAGTGGTTCAAAACGTTTGCATTATTTTGAAAGCTGTAATGTGTGTTGTCAAATTGTTCTACATAAAAATATCAATTTATTTTGCCATGTTTAATTGTATGAGATTCCCTTTCCCCATTTTATGCAGACTTTTTTTCATATGTGATAGTAAGTTGTGTTTTTCAAATATTACCACATCAGATATTACCACAGGAGATATATAGGCTACTGACATGCCAGGATGGATTGGGTTTTTTTTAAAAGATAGATGGATCACTCTGTTTATCAGAAAGGCAGAGTGAGAGAGATTTCCCATCCTCTGCTTTCACTCCCCAAGTGGCCATAATCGCCAGGTCTGGGCCAGGTAGAAGGCAGGAGACTGGAACTCCATTCTGTTCTCCAGCCTTGTTTGCAGAGGCCCAAGCTCTTGGGCTGTCTTGTGCAGCCTTCCCAGGTGATCTGCTGAATCAGACGCAGAGAAGTTAGAACTCGAAGCAGCACTCGAGTGTGGGATGCCGGCATTGCAAGCAGCTTCTTAACCTTCTGTACCAGATGCCAGCCCCTGGATTATATTTCTTAAATTCTAATTTCAAAGAAATTTATATTAAACCCTTTTTGATTAAAAGTACAAGAAAGTAGACATTGAACCAATAGTGCAACTTCTCTTTAAATAAGTTTCACATTATTTCCTTGGAAAGATAAATCATCTTAAGATTATATTCAAGAAGGAAATAAAAAGATACAAAATTGTTTGCTTCTCCCCAGCTCTGGCTAGGGGTAAAAAGGCTAAAATAGGAATGAGGTATGTTCTCAGAGATTCTGATGTTGGCTTACCTGGGGTAGAATTGCAACCTTTTCAGATCTCTTATCAGTCCCTTTTAAGGGCCAGCCTGTATTGTTAAGCAATGCAATCAAATGCATTGGCTTATAATGTGTTCATTTGAGTGTATCGTGATTCCTAGCTAGAAATAAAATGGTTTTTTCTTTTTAAGGGTTTACTTTCTAGTTTGAAAGAAGTAAATACCATCAGAATGTAGATGTGGGCAGTCTGTGGGGCTCTGCAGGCTGTTTTGTTTCACTTTGCTTTAATGAAATATGAATATACATCATGTGGATTCACCCATAATACATTCTTTTCCTGAGAAAGGTGACCTGTTTATGTTTAATAGTTGCTACTTAATTGTGCTAGCTGTCTGAATGAAGACTGTCATTTCCTTGTTACACCGCAGTTCACTTTCTGTGCTGAATCTTTAAGGTGACCTAACTCAGACTCCCAAAACGCTTATTGACAGTTTACGTGTCTGCATGCTGCATGTAACTTCCTAAGAATTCTTGACCCATCATTGGCTTATAGATGTCTATGGACACACAATGTTCTCTTAAAATTTAGAGCTTAGGGGAGAGAGACATCCCAGGATGGCTTCTTGGAAGCCCTCTGTGTAAAACTGAATCCAAATTTTAGAACATTCCCACATTTTGGTTGCTACATGTTAGTTGCTATTTCTGACAGAGGCCAGAAATATCCAGTCTTGTCAATATTGGCATGAGCCAGTATCGGACTCTTATTTTTAGAATTTCATTTGTGGGGCCAGCACTGTGGCCTAGCAGGTAAGGCCACCACCTCCAGTGCCAGCATCCCATATGGGTGCCGGTTCAGGTCCTGGCTGCTCCACTTCTGATCCAGCTCTCTGCTGTGGCCTGGGAAAGCAGTAGAAGATGGCCCAGGGCCTTGGGCCCTAGCACTCACATGGGAGAGTCAGAGGAGGCTCCTGGCTCCTAGATTTGGATCAGCACAGCTCCAGCCATTGTGACCAATTGGGGGGTAAACCAGCAGATGGAAGACCTCTCTCTCTCTCTCCCTCCCTCCCTCCCTCCCTCTCCGCCTCTCTGTGTAACTCTGACTTTCAAATAAACAAATACATCTTTTAAAAAAATTCATTTGTATATTTATTTTTTGGGTTTCTCTGTCTTTCCAATAACATAACTTTCATGTATTAGTAAAACAAAAATTAAGAAAACTTACCAATTAAAAAATATTTTCAGTATTATCCCTTTTTCATGATTTTCTGCCAAAAATTTCTTGGATTATATGGTCATTTGACTTGCAGTTATTTTCATCCATTTTCTGGCTAATACACAAGTAGATTCACTTGGCTTCTTTTTCTGTTTACATGTTATACCATTGGCGTGTTGTACTACAGCTTTATTTTATTCTGAAGCTTTTTGGGGTTTCAAGTTATGTGAGAAGAGGTTAGTGGAAGATGCTGCCTGGAAATGGGCTTTAACGTGCTTTGTTCCCTAGTCTAGGCAGGAGTAAGCTTCTTGGTTCCTGTTTTTCAGTGTGGGAAGTTCACTTCCACCCCTCCAATCCCGATCATCTCTTCACGTGTTCTGAAGACGGATCCCTCTGGCACTGGGATGCCTCCACAGATGTCCCTGAAAAGTCATCACTCTTTCATCAAGGTAAAACATCGTGGTGGAGATTCTTCTGTGTATTTTTATATACTTTTTAAAGATTTATTTCATTATTTATTTCTTTGAGAGTGAGTTCTCATCTGTTGGTTTACTCCCCAAATGTCCCCAAGAGCTGGGGCTTGGCCAGACTGAAGCTGGGAGCTAGGAAGTCCGTCTAGACCTCCCACATGAGCAGCAGGGACCGACTACTTAAGCTATTACCTGCTGCCTCTCAGGTTACACATTCTCAGGATAGGAGCAAATTTGGGCATCTTAATTGCATCTTAACCACTAAGCCACATGTGCCCTCCTCCATTATGCTTTTAAATACCAAATTCGACATTCCCATATTTTCCACATTAAAGAATGGCAGAGGAATGAGCATGGTGGTATAGTGGTTAAATCTACTCCCTGCAATGCCAGCATCCCATACAGGACTGGTTCATGTCCAACTACTCCACATCGACCCACCTCCCTGCTAATAGCTTGCGAAAAGCAGCGGAGGGTGGCCCAAGTGTAAATCTTTATGTTTCAAGTAAGTAAATTTGGGTATTATAGGTCTTGAAATCTGTCAGCTACTCACTGCCGTACTGCTGATGCTACAAGCTGACTCACTTCAGATAGCCAAGGTGGTTCTTTTTGAGTGGCGTTGGCCTGTGCCAATAGGATAGGCATTGGCAGCTCTTTTATGTTGCATTGCCAAAGCAGGGTGTTTGGCAGGCAGAAGTGGATCTTTCGTGTATGAAGGTACTGGTTTCTTCTCAGCTTAAAGGCCCTATCTCCTGACTGAAGTCGGTGTTAAATAGAGGTCAGCCAGAAACTACACTGTACTCAGTGGTGTGTGTTTTTTGGTTGGTTTTGTTGTTTTTGTTTTTTGTTTTTTACATCTTCCAAACTTCCTATGTTTGAGGATTTTTTTCCCCTGTGATTCCAAAGTTCATTTGTGCATTCATTCATTTAGAACTATTAGTGCTTCTGAGTGTTGGTGTCTACAGCAGCAGACAGAACAAGTCTGTAGCCCTAGAATAGATGATCTAACAGACAAAAAAAAATGTTATCAGTGTGAGTCCAATCAGAAAAGCAAACTACCCTAGGTTTAGAAGGGATTGGTTTCCCATTGGAGGGTGTGTGAAAGCAGTAAGGACTGACCAGGGAGCTGAGAGAGCAAACAGGAAGAAAGTATAATATCCAGAAATCAGAAATAGTGCCTCTGCTGCTGCATTGTTGGAAATGCTATCAAAGTTGGTTCTGAATCAGCAGGAAAAGTGCCACCTCACCCAGACTGGAACTCCTGCCAGTGCTCATGTTCAAAAACCTGGAGCAGGAGTGGAGCTGCTTCTCCCCTCCTCCGCCTTGCAGTCACCCACCAGCAGACCTCCTGTTGCCTGGGCCCATCTGGACAGCAGATGGCAAAGGAGCCGCCCCCACACAGTACAGAAGAGAGCACAGAGAAGTGGGAGAGAGGCCTCCGGGCCAAAAAGAAAATAACTGCACTAAGTACGCTGATAATCATCAGTGCGAAAAAGAGTAAAGTAGAATGGGGTAGAGAAAAGACAGGTGAGGGAGCTGCTTTGGTGAGAGGTCCAAGGAGAGGGAACTTGGCAGAAAGAACCCGAGTAGAAGGGAAGGTGTGAGTTACACGACAGAACAGAAGGCCACTGTGGCGGCGGTTCAGCTGCAGGGGAAGGAAGTGGAAGAAGATAAGGACTGGTGGCTGAGGGACAGAGCTGATCTGTGTAGGCTGCGATAAGGATTTCAGATTTTATTCCAAGTATGATAGAAGCCATCAGGTGAGCCGGGGTGGCAGGAGTTGATCTGTGTTTGCAGAGAATGAGTGTGGCGGCTGTGGCACAGACTGTAGAGGAGTGCTGAGAAGTGGAAGCAGGGAGACCAGGAGGGAGTCTCATCACAATGATTGTAATAATGGGGTCAGGTTTCACAGTATTCAAGAACAGCATAAAATACAGGAGCACTAAAACAGTGACGAAGGGCAAAAAATTCTGGAGAAGTGTGCACTGTGTACAGTTTGTATGCATATCTATGCCAGCTCGACTTATAGAGAAACTAGCAGTTTTATCTAAGGATTAGCTAAGTATTTGGTCGTTCTTCCCTTCCTGCCCTACCCCCATTATGTTGCATCTGAAATTTTACCACTTAAGAAACCTGGTTAGACTGGAAACAAAGCCATTTACTAAATCCCTTTTCTGCTATTGGAAGCTGCAATGCTAGAGACTGAAAAAGCATGTAAAATATGCGACCTGATTTAGTTATGGAGAAGAGGCATGAGAAGTTAAATCATGGTATCAAAGTGTTGCAAGATAGTAAATGGTACATGCAAGCGCTTCCTTTTAGAAAGGGAGAAACATGAGCTACAAGTGTTTTCATAGGCTGCTTAGTTGAGCTGAGCCTTGAAGGATAAGCAAGAGGTAAACTTGCGGTTCTTTAAGCTTCAAGGCACAGGGACTTCATCTGGCTCAGGATGGTACGTAGTAGTTACTCAGCTATTTGTCCAGTGAATTAAGTTTGTCTGTCTGATTTGACAGAAAGTTGAGTAAATAAAATTACAAATAATGCCTAAGATTGAGATATGTTACCTCTTTCTCACCTAATTCTTTATTAAATGCAGAATACTGATGAGATGAAAATGTATAATCTAGTAATCTAAAAGTCTATTTTTTAAGAACATTTACCTACAAAAGTAAAGAATGAAAGTCTAAGACATTTATATTTTTAGAAATATTTGTCTAAGGGCAAATGATTGATGCAGCTATTATAATGAAGCTAGAGATACCTGTATCCCATATCAGAGTGCCTGAGTTCAAGTCCTAGCTCTACTCCTTTTTTTTTTTTAAGAAAGCTTTTATTTAATAAATATAAATTTCTTAGGCACAGCTTTTGGAGTATAGCAGTTCAACCCTCCCCAATACCCCCCTCCCACCCCCACTCCCATCCCATCTCCTACTCCCTCTCCCATCCCATTCTTCATTAAGATTCATTTTTTTTTATCTTTTATTTAATGAATATAAATTTCCAAAGTACGACTCATGTGTTACAATGGCTTCCCCCCCCATACCGTCCCTCCCACCCACAACCCTCCCCTTTCCCACTCCCTCTCCCCTTCCATTCACATCAAGATTCATTTTCGATTATCTTAATATACAGAAGATCAGCTTAGTATACCTTAAGTAAGTATTCCAACAGTTTGCTCCCACACAGAAACATAAAGTGAAAAATAATAGATGATTTTTTTTAAATGATGATGAAATCAGATCTGACCTATTGTCATGTTTAATCCCAGTGAGAGTCAAGTTGGGAATTGATAATTTCTTTCTTTTTTTTTTTTTTTTTTTACAGAGGATCAGTTTAGTATGCATTAAGTAAGGATTTCAGTCGTTTGCACCCCCATAGAAACACAAAGTGAAATATACTGTTTGAGTACTCGTTATAGCATTAAGCCTCAGTGTACAGCACGTTAAGGACAGAGATCCTACATGAGGAGTAAGTGCACAGTGATTCCTGTTGTTGACTTTACCAATTGACACTCCTGTTTATGGCATCAGTAATCTCCCTATGCACCAGTTATGAGTTTCCAAGGCTATGGAAGCCCCTTGAGTTCTCCGACTCTTATCTTGTTTAGACACGGTCATAGTCAAAGTGGAGGTTCTCTCCTCCCTTCAGAGAAAGGCACCTCCCTCTTTGAAGACCTGTTCTTTCCACTGGGATCTCACTCACAGAGATCTTTTTGCCAGAGTGTCTTGGCTTTCCATGCCTGAAATACTCTCATGGGCTTTTCAGCCAGATCCGAGTGCCTTTAGGGCTGATTCTGAGGCCAGAGTGCTATTTAGGACATCCGCCATTCTATGAGTCTGCTGAGTATCTCACTTCCCATGTTGAATCACTCTCCCCTTTATTTATTCTATCGGTTGGTGTTAGCAGATACTAGACTTGTTTTTGTGCTCCCTTTGACTCTTAGTACTTTCATTATGATCAATTGTGAACTGAAATTGATCACTTGGAGTAGTGAGATGGCATTGGCACATGCCACCTTGATGGGATTGAATTGGAATCCCCTGGTATGTTTCAACTCTACCAATTGGGGCAAGTCAGCCCGAGCATGCCCCAAATTATACATCTCTTCCCTCTCTTATTCCCACTCTTATGTTAGAAACCTGAATATAACCCTACCATTCTACCCAGCCATCCCACTCCTTGGAATTTACCCAAAGGAGTTTAAATTGATAAACAAAAAAGCGGTCTGCACCCTAATGTTTATTGCAGCACAATTCACAATAGCCAAGACCTGGAACCAACCTAAATGCCCATCAACGGTAGACTGGATAAAGAAATTATGGGATATGTATTCTTTAGAGTACTATACCGCAGTAAGAAACAACGAAATCCAGTCATTTGCAACAAAATGGAGGAATCTGGAACACATCATGCTGAGTGAAGTAAGCCAGTCCCAAAGGGACAAATACCATATGTTCTCCCTGATCGGTGACAACTGACTCAACACCAAAAAGGAAACCTCCTGAAGTGAAATGGACACTATGAGAAATGGTGACTTGATCAGCATAGCCCTGACTGCTAATGGACAACTTAATACATTATCCCTCATAGTATTTTTTTTGTCTGTTCTACTTAATATGACTGGTTTAATTCTGTAATTATCACACAGTTATTCTTAAGTGTTGAAAATTAACTGAAATGTGATCCCTGTTAAACATAAGATTCATTTTTAATTATCTTTATATACAGAAGACCAACTCTATACTAAGTAAAGATTTCAATAGTTTGTACCCATACAGACACACAAAGTATAAAG